AACATGGTGAAACCTTGCCTCTAAAATACAAAATTGGCTGGACATGGTGGCACGCGCCTGTAATCCCAGCTACAGGAGAATCGCTTGAACCTGGGAGGCGGCAGTTGCAGTGAGCCAAGATTGCGCCATTGCACTCCAGCCTGGAACAAGAGCAAAACTCTATCTCCAAAAAAAAAAAAAAGACTGCTAACTGTAGCAAATTGAGGTAGGCCTAGGGGCTATGAAAACAATGCCTGTTCTCCTACCACCATTTAGAGTTACTGTAGGGCCCGGCAGTTTATTACCAATCCCAAAGTTCCATCCGGCATCATAGTGGCAGGTCCTGGAGGAGCTGGGGTACCAGCTGGCACAGGAGCAGGGGGCATGGCACCTCTGTTGTTTATGCCCATAGCACCTAAAGCAGAGTAGTGTGATCAGTACAAGGGAGAGAGACTTAGTCTCTTTCCATAACAAAGGAAACAATTCAACAAGACCTCTGGGCCAAGACATGCACGTCACTCCCTTAAAGTAGGTAGCAGAAGCTACACAGTTCACCAGGGACCAAACAAAAAAGGAAATTAGAGCCATTAACCTCCTAAGTCCTTACCTCCCATAGCCATCTGACCCATCCGAATCTCCTGCTCTCTCTGAAAAACAAAAAATACTCAAGACAGTCCAAGACAGCAGTACATTCTATCACAATCCATCAAAGACCACACATGGATAACCTAACCCATCCCAAAAGCACTGAGATCAAGCTGTGGAGCATAACCCTTGATAGTTGTGCGACAAATTCAAGGTCACGGAGCTACTAGGACACAAGTCAGTCTCCTATTAGGAACAGAGAGGTGAAAGGAAGGGGGAAGAGATTTCTTCTAAAAGTTCCAACCTGTACAACTGCAATCACAGCAGAGGAGTAGCCAAGGTTGCATATCTCTTCCTATAGTCAGAGTCTACACAGAATACAGCAGGACTCAGCTTTTCATCCTAAATTGCCTGTGAGGCAAGAACTCCCCTTCAGGCCGGGCATGGTGGCTCATGCCTGTAGTCCCAGAACTTTGGGAGGCCGAGGCAGGCGGATCACCTGAGGTCGAGGGTTCGAGACCAGCCTGGCCAACATGGAGAAACTCCGTCTCTACTAAAAATACAAAATTAGCCGGGCATGGTGGCACATGCCTGTAATCTCAGCTACTCGGGAGGCTGAGGCAGGAGAATCACTTGAACCTGGGAGACAGAGGTTGCAGTGAGCTGAGATTGCACCACTGTACTCTAGCCTGAGCGACAAGAATGAAAACTCTGTCTTAAAAAACAAACAAACAAAAAAAAACTATCCAGTTTTGGCATTATCAATTTTTTTCTTTTGGTTTCCTGACCGGGAAACGGGCATGATCAGTTTTTACCACCACAACCAAAACAACCTCAGGATTGCAGGAGCCATGAAGTATTTGGATTCACAACTATTTTATGTGATAATGCCTACCCTGCGTCAACTTCCCTCCAAAACACAAC